TTTTTCAGCTACAAAACTACCGCTTTCGCTTGTTTCTGTCTCAAAAAAAGGAAAATTGCACCACCAGTTTTAGGCAATTGTACTGGCTTTTTCTTGCCAGTACAGTGGGGAAGCCCTTGAGGGGTACAAAAAGAACGAAGGAGGTTGCACATATGCTAAAAGCTGTAGATTGCTCACCACTGCCTTGAGCAATTTACTTCCATTGTCGTGGAATTAAATGAAAAGCAATGGGCAACTTCTGGAATTGAAATTAGTTCTTGGTGTAAATGGCAATGGAATTCTGGGATTGGCAGCAAGGTTGGTATTGGGGCTGTCTGCAAACTTGGGCTGAGAATTGTCTGGTGGCACTAAACTTCGGGGCCAGTTTCTAGGATTCTCCAAACCTATCCACCGCCATTAGGTACATCCTGGTAATTTTCTGTCATTTGATGTCACATAGGAATTACATAGCCTTAGCCTGCCTCTCCAGGATATATAGGCCAATTATCCCTTTGTGGAAGTCAACGGTAAAGGAATGAATTAGGGATAGTGACCATCAGATTGATCTTGTCAATGCTTCTGAATGGTATTGCCAAATGCTAGACTGCCACAAGCTCTCTACTGTGGGGTATCTACACAGTCTTACTCCGAGTAAGTGTAAGTGGGCTTTTTCCAGAGCCCATCTTAATGTTCTTCCTTTTGCACTGTTGTATTGTCAAAGACTTTATTTTACTGGTTCCAGGGAGCTGGAAAATCTTGCCCATATCTTCTGTCTTATGATATTCTGAGGCATATTTTGCTCTTCCCACTTATTCGCAAATTTGAGGGCCAGATCAATTGTATGTACATTATCTTTTAAGGGATGTTGATCCTTCAGTTACATTTCAGGTTGCAAAATACTCTAAGAAGCTACACAGTTCCGCAAAACTTTTTCTGAGCCTTATTGTTCCATGATACTTTTGGGGAATGGGTTTTCTGTGGCAATTTCTTTTCTTTATTTGTAATGCTGATCCAGGACCATAATAAAGGAGAAGTAATATCACATCAGTGTTCCAGAGTTGATAGAAAAGTGAGCATCAACAAATGTTTTATGGAGCCAGGAGAAAGCAATCTTTTCCCTCCTGCCATTGTCCAGCACATTTTTTAGACACTTCAATTTTTTTTCCAAAAATAAATCAACAGGAGGGGTATTATAATGACAATTATATACATAACATTCAGGGGTTGAAATACATTTTCATCTTGAAATATTCCAGCTTTGAAACAGCTGCTTTAATTCTTCCAGATTAAAATCAAAATGCATCTTGACCTCAAAACAAAGCACATCATTTTGAAATAATGCTTGGTCATTTCAAATGGCATTCTGAATGTTCTAGTCCTAAAAAAACAACCTCCAAGTAGGTCATTTTAACCCCCAAATGGTCTTTTTCAAATTTTGTGAGCTGAAAACTAATTCTGTAGTCTGAGACTTGTGTTTGGGCTTGGAAGTGAGTTGGCTTCCGTGGTTGAACGTGGACTTGGACCTGGGCCTCCCCACTGATAGTCTAACACCTTCATCACTACTCCACATTATCTCTCTTTGGACTACCCTGATGTTTCCTGTTCTCTGTGTGTGTAGCCTTTTGTCTATTACAATTATCAATAACTCTATATTGAGCAAGCAAAGTGACATAGGAAAGACAATAGAAAACTGCCTTATCACAAGGCAAATTTTTGGCTCTGCGTTTTCTGCTTTTATGACTAGTAGCTGTGCAGGACAGAAGCGTTTCTCACTTTGACCTGGAATGACCTGGATTGGACTGAGGAACTTGTACAAAGAACACAGATCCTTTTCCTCTAATCTGTAACTGCTTCATAGTTGACTTGTGTTATTGCTTATGGCATTCATATTTTATCCTTCCTCCAAACTCTTAGGGATAACACGCGTGTTCCTGGCCTCTAGAGAACAGAAGATTCACCTGAGGCAGATGGCTATGATCTCATTTTGCTAAACAGCTACACACTTTTTGAATTATTCCAGAAACAGCTCTGCTTTTAGATAAGCTGATGGCAGCTGTTGCCAGAAGAGCAGCAGCTCTTAATTATTAGGGTTAGGGGAGAAATTTGTTTGGGTCACCTTTTAATATGAATGTTACACTTCCTGAGCTAATGTACAAAGTGGAATGCAAATTTCTTTCATTTTTCACATCTCTCCAAATTTTGTGGGGCAACACTTTCATTTAAAAATACATATAAAGTGCACATATTAAGGGAAAGGTCTATGAAAGGCCAATATTAAGAGGAAATTGCTTGGAAAAAATGTGCATATTAGGGAAGAACTCATTCAAGAATGTATTTTCATGAAGACGATTTTAAAAATACAAACTGATGTGGAAAGAAAAAAGATAGACAAACACTGTAGGAAGTGCAACAGACATTTTCCCCAATCTCATAGTATGGTCTGCCAAAATGAAATAATGTCCACAGGTATGAAACTTATAGTCTTGGAAGCATCCATTTCAAAATGTTTCTTAACTAAATATATATATTTGGGCAAGTTCCATAAAGCAGTGGTTGTATTACAAAAATACCTACACTAGCAGTCAGATTCCGCAAAGAAATGCAGATTTGTATGTGTGTAATACAGAATGTGGATAAAGTAACACACACACTATTTAAAAATCCATATATTTCTAATCATTATATAATTATCACATTATATACTTCTAAACAGACCTATCCACTCTACATCAGTGGCTGAAATGTACAGCTTAAATTAAATATGGAGAGAGAAATTCAATACAGTTTTGTTGCTGTTTTGGGTGACAAATGTTTTCTCCATTTTAATGATCATTCCATCCTATTTCCATATTGTTTTTCAGGTAAAAGGAAGTCCCAAGAACATTTGCAAATGTATTTGTGCACATTTTATCTATTTCCATACCTATAGATCAGAATATATGAATTTTTGCAACCTGTTCTCCTTATTATACTGCATAATCTATGCAATTTTTGTGCACAGAATTTCCTAATGCTTGGATGATCATATGCAAGGATGGATAAATGTATTGTTTGGGGTCAGATATTGCTTCATAAAAATCTGGAAAACATTGAAGGGAAACTACAATTTATTTCACATATTAATTTAGAAAGAATTTGATAGATTCTTTATAGAAAAACGATATTAAATTCTCCCCAATTTCTAGCTTATTTGTGCCTGGGCAGAACAGCAAGTTGTATCTTTGCCCACTCAAGACTGGTTTAGTTACTTTGGCACTAAGGCAGAAAAACTGATGATCACTTTTCATCCTCCTAGGTAGTAAAAATGTATAGCAGAAATGATTTAACAATTCATTGCCCAATCAATTGTCCAAGGCAGTTGTCTGATTCTGCTGAAGTGTAGGCCACATAGTCAACATCTGAGCAAAACTAGCTTTAGCAGGATAACTGCCACATCTTGCTGTTCAATTGCTACACTTACAAACTGTCCCTACTCTTTTTGCTTCAGGATCATCCTCAAAGATATCCATTTTGATTGGAATTTTGACAAAACTTCTGCCTGTCTCTTCAGACATTGCTTGTGATGCTCCTCAATAAGTTTCATTTCGTTTTCTTTGATGAAAGCCTTGCTTTGCTTTTTTGATTTAAGAGCTGCCATGGCTGCATCCTGTAGCTGCCTGCATAATCTCAGACATGGATTTATGTCAACGTTTTGAGTCTGTAAACTGCTGTGAAAGCATTTGCAAGTTGGGTAGAATGTACATTGCATTAAAGGAGAGAGAAGATTTGTAATTTTTAAAAAAAATCTTGTTCATTGTACTTCTTGATCTTTTCCATTAACACAATATAGTGGTTTCCTCATAGTTGCAAAGAATATTTAAATCAAAATTATCAAAAAAAACTTGAATTGGGTACACAACACACACCTACGCACACTGATTCCCCCAGAGTGTCAGGAAAGAGTTCCAAAGTTGGGGAGATAAATTCTCTACCTGCTTCTCATTTGATTTTGGTAGAGGGATTGCAAATGGTATTCAAATGCTAAAAGGATGAAAGACGTGTCAGATGCTTCTCTTTTAAACAAGAAACCGTTCTCAGTGTTTCAGGAGTGCCTGTAAATACGGAGGCCTATTTGTTTTCTCTGGCTTTTCTTGAGTAGTGTTTAATGTTATTTTTATTTTATTATAAAAACATTCTCCCACTTTCCATTAAAAATAATCCCCAAATGACATACAATAGAAGAGAACAAATAAAAAGGTATAAAATTGCACTACTTAAAGCCATAAAATAGCATCGTAAAAACAAGAGCAGCACACTAAATGACCAGGAAGCATAAGTTCAACCAATAGCTTGATCAAATAAATAGCTTTACAGCTGACACTAAAAGCTTAGAAGACTCCACATCAACTGCAACTGAACAGGGAGAGAATTTCACAGTTGGGACACCTTTATCAAGATCATTCTCTACCTGGGTGTGATTTTCTATGCATCTGTCAATATTTCTTTTGGGTAGGTATGCAAGAGAAAAAGTGATTGTCATATATTCAGGTCCTAAACTATACATTCTTATTTTCTGCATTCAGTGTTTATTAAAATGCCCTGAAAAGGGTTTACCTGCATCCTTTTTTTTTTCCTAAATGAAATAATATTGGGTTGTGTATAACAGATATTCTGAATTACTTTCAATTATGAAATTACTGAATTACTTTCAATATGATTGTTTATTTCCCATGTCTGGCATTCAGTTTAGACATTCTCTGAAAGGTCCACAAATTCAAGCTCCAGGGTAAACCCTGAAGGGATCTTTACTCAACTGGCTACTAGAGTTATTGTGGACATACCAAATGAAATCATCTCAGGTAATCCAGTGCCCTGAATGTTTAGGGTTTTGTAACTTAAAATGATTTCTACGTCTTATTTCACCTCAACCTTTTTATGAAATGTCTAGCTAGGTAAACCTTCTACAGGAATATATATTTGGAAAGAAGCCTATTTCCATTTTCTAAAGAAAGGGGTTTTAAAAAAACAACAAAAACACTCACTCCTTTTGAGAACTGTTGTGAGAACTGCTGTTGTCTTCTGGTAGAGCCTCTGAAGAGGTGATAGGGTGACAGCTAACCTGCTGAAGAGGTGATGAAGATCTGGGCTGTAGTTCCTCAGGGAGACCTTGGACTCTCTTCCAGATCTCATGGCAAGCTTTATCCAAACTGTCCTGGGGAGTGTTGTGGTGGATCCAGATGTGTCTTGGGAATGGGCCCAGAGGGAAAGGGCCTTTGGAGTTGACTGCTGAACACTGAACATTGCTCCTACTTGTCAGCATCTTACTCTGCACACCAAGAAGCAAGGAGAAAAAATTTAAAAAATAGGATGGGCCACACACTTTTTCTGTGGTGTGTGCATGTGCATTTATGTAGTGTGACTTTTTTTTTTTTAGATGGCATAGAATGGAATGAATGGCAACAAACCTAGGTAGCCAAGTAACCATGGAATACTTCTAGGAAGGCAACTGATAGGGAGAGCAACTGGATGGAGTCATACTGAGTCTCAAAGATCTAGCAAAAGGAGGAAGAGGAGATTCTGTTCTCCCTGAAGAAGCATAAAGAACATACAGAGGCTGGAACTAGGTTTACTTCCGCCAGCTGATACTTCTAGAGCAGTGTTGTCCAAACTTGGCCACTTTAAGATGAGTGGACTTCAACTCCCAG